CGCAGAGGAAATATTGGCCAGCAGGGCCAAGTCCAACCGCGTGATTCTCAACGTCGGTGGCGACCGGCACGAGGTTCTCTGGCGAACTCTGAACCGCCTACCGCACTCCCGACTGGGTCGTCTGGGCCATGCGGTCACGCACGAGGCTATAAGTCAGATTTGTGATGACTACAGCCTTGAGGACAATGAGTACTTCTTTGATCGACATCCGCAAAGCTTTGGATGTGTGCTCAACATGTACCGCACAGGCCATTTACACACAGTAGAGGACATTTGCATTCTGGCCTATCACAGTGACTTGGTGTACTGGGGCATTGATGAACGGCATATGGATCCCTGTTGTCTGAGCCGGTACTATCAGAAGAAGGAACACGTGGAGGATGAAATGCGTAAGGTTAATGAGATTTTCCTGCAGCAAATGGATACAGAATACTCCGGAGATGATCGATGTGCCGTTTATCGCAAAAAACTCTGGGATATACTGGAGAAACCGCAGACATCGATGGCTGCCAGGGTTCGTTTGTTGATTTTGCTCAAAAACTTTACTTTTACTGGTTTTGGATTTTAATGAACTAATTTTTATCGGTTAATCGAAACAGCCTAGGAGACCGTAGCGACGTGTTTATATTCAGTATCAGTGTCAGTTTATTCACGGAAAGATATTCGAACGCCTTTGAACTCCCGAATTTCGCTAAAGAAAACATTTAACAATAAGTAAGTACGCGGCATGGACCTAAATGGTCAGGACATGACTTTTTATACTCAACCCGAAACGTCAGTGGACAAGGGGCTCGGCTCCTCAGTGGGTCCCCCAGGGTCCTCTATGCGGTTCCTGGTATATGCCCTGCAAAGAATAATAAAGGGAATCATTTCAGGAATCATTAACCGCCTGACACGGAGTTAAGTGACGGAGACTTGCATTTTTAGGGTAATCGGCAAAACACATGTCTGGGTTTTTGGTCGCCAACTATGTCGGGAATGCGGTCTAAAGATATTAATTTTCAGTTCGCCGACATTAGGAAAACAATAAATAAAACAATAATAAAATTTTCTTTCATTTCATTACAGTGTAGTTTTGTTAGTATGTCCACGCTGGTTTATTGTAGGGCTAAGTTCTCAATAGGGCTGACGTGTACGGCATATGGCAGCGTACAGGCACTCTGGTGATACTAATAATGATAAATGATAGTGGCCGGGTAAAATCGATTCGGTTGTGAAATACTCACGGCGCACAGTGGGCCTCGTAGCTAAAAGGTAGAGCGTTGACTGCGCAAAAGTCTTCCCTGCTCTGTGGGTTCGACTCCCTCTGAGGCCGCGCATTTTTCACAATTGGGTCAACTGAATTAAGCAAATCTTCCAACCCCCCCTAACGATAAAAATAGTAGTGATATCGTGCAACAAAATCTGACCAACGGTCGGCTTATGTTACCGGCTGCCTTGGAACTGTAGTTAAGTTTAAACTGTGTTGTTTTAGTAAACTATTTCACAATGCACAACTTCTAGGGCAAACCTTGAAATAGCACATCAAAATTGCAACATCCCAGCGTGACTGCTGTCGCGGTTCTCATCGGGATAACAAGACTTATTTGTGAAGGGGTGGTGGGGGGATAGGGGGACGAGCGAAGCTTTCACGATGGGGACTATTTATTCCCATAACCTTACGCTACATAATTGTGATGAGAAGCGGTCTGTTGAAGGCTAACCGAACAATGGGCAGCTCAGTTTATAAGTGGATATCGACGGCACAAACATAAACTATTGACCTTGCCCAGTGTGCATTTGAATAAACCAGCGAAGGGAAGTAAATGGAGATTAGCCCCGTAAGCTCTTCTTCCATGGAACTGTTCTTCACATAGAGTGCGTTTTCTGCATTGTAGGACAGATTTTTCATAGAATTAGACAAAAACACGATTCTGATGTGTAACTGGACTTCGTTCGGCTTTGTCCTGTTTCTTCTTTTTTAATTTTCATAAAAAACACTGGCTAACGTGAAAGACACCCTTCCATAAAGAAATGAAAATGAGAAATTCAATTCGTCAACTGGGAGGAGGAATGACTATCGGGGCAGAATAGGAAAGCATGTTAACAAAACCCACGATTTCACACAAAAACAACAGGAATCCGTCAATAATTCAAATCTACCATTCACTGACTGATTAGCAGGTCAAGCTGAACAATAATCAACCACTGAAGTTAATCTAACCGGTCTAATAAATTGGGAATTACTTTTTTACTTGCTGGTTTCATTGGGTTTTTCCTGTTGACGTCCCCATTGTTGTGTAAATCGTTATGCCAAAGACTACAGCTTAGTATGGTTATGTACGCGTTGACTACTCCTCCGTTCTTGACAGTAAATGCTTACTTTTTTTTTACCAGCTAACACGCCAACTGGGATTCTTTCCTTTGTGAATTGCTTGACTGATTAACGTCACTGTGCGAAGGGGAAGAGCTAATCAAAGTATCATGAACCAAACTGTGATTAACACAGGTCCACCGCGAGACAAATAAATGGAACGGAAAGGCGTATTTGGTTCAGTGGTCTGGTGTAGGTCATAACCATTCATACGTGTCCGCCTACTGCTTGACATTCAGTCATTGGATCTTTGATCTGCTTATGGCCTGGAAGGTAGCTTGGTGGGCAGTTATAAAACTTTCCATCTCCAGTGTTAGCCCTGTCAGAGGGCTTTTGAGAGATGACCATGGCAAATTTCTGAAAATCTTACAGGCGCCGGCAAAGTCGGCAGATGCGTAGGCGGTCAACGCACAAGTTATATTATTTCGTGCATGGCCTCACACACTACCCACATTTTCCACAGAAAGTTTAAAGGATTTTTTAAAATTCTGATAGGACTACAATGTTCTCGCTTTTGCCACAAAACAGCAGAAAGGCGGGCATTTTGGAATTTCAATTGGTCCTGAGGTGGTAATCAGTTTTACGTTTCCGACCAGTTAAATGAAATTTCATGGTTTGGGTTTTTTGTGAAAGAACTACTATTTGGGAACGTGTAATAAGACTTATGGCAAAAACAAAGCGATGATGACTTCTACAGTTGCACTAAACAGGACATGAAAACAGGCACCATGAGAAACGCAGATGTCTTTGCGCCATGCCTCAGGGAAATAGGATTAGGGTTAACATTATATAAGTTGGAGGCCGGTTAAGGGTTAAATTTAGGGTCTAGTGTAGGATTAAGGCTAAGAATAGGACTAAACTTTAGATCTGCGTCGGGGTTAATGAAAAGGTTAAGACCACTTTTATTGCACGGGTGGGCGCTCCTATTCTCGTGTGCGCTTTGGGGGACCATATAAGGTATCCTTACCAGCAAAGTGTCATTAATTCTTGCTAAAATTGGGAAGCAAACGGGCGTGGGCCCTAGATTAGCGTTTGTCATAAAGTTGAGGAGGGGGGAGGGCAGGGACTACGGAACTTCTGGGCACCGGCCGAATTGCGTTCCTCCGCTTTTGAAATGTCACGTATTTGAGACCTTTACTTAAGACCGATAGGGAATGCTGGAATGAGCCCCTCTGGCTTGTTCGCTAGGCAACCTGAGGAGTTGCGATCTCAGTTTGTTGCCTAATATTTTTTATGCAACACAATCCGGTCATTTGGTCAATAGCAGGCCTCAACTGGCGGTCAAGGTGTAGGTAAAATGAAGTTGGTCCTGTGCTTAATTTTAGTTTAGTTTTTAGTTTATTATTTACTTAAGTAGTTTGATTTAGGAACTGCCAAAGTTAGATAAATATACTTATATAACTTCTATAACCTTAGGTAAATTTACTAAACAAAGCTGAACTTAACAAAACAAATAATGAACCAAATAATAAATTACCGCCTGTCCTGTAAAACAGAGTTCTGGGGCTAAGGTATTTGAGGTGCTAAGCCAAATTGGTTGTTACCTATTTAGACTTGTAAATCCAACCTCCGATAGGCGGGTTTTAAACGTCCAGCTTTAGACTTATTCCAGAGACGAGTCTGACTTTGGCGGGACAGACCCTCTTAGGGTGCTCTAAATGGGCAAAAGGTTTGACTTTTCCGAATCAATACATCTTACCGTTGCATTGAAACTGTTTTTTTCTTGCGGCTCGAGGGGTGTTCACCGCCAGTGCAAGTACGGACAGTCTGTAAAGCCAAACAGTGCCACTGACAATAACGGGTCTCTGAAGTAATGAGGCTGCCGACCCATTTTACCTTACCCTTCGTATAAGCGCCATGATTCGCTAAATAGTTTTCTGAGCTATTTCCGGTTTTTGAGGTGTTTAAGTTCATTACATAATATCTTGCACGTTATTCTAGCGGGTGGAGGTGCCCAGAGCCGTGTCCTCTGTTGACAACTACCGGTGGTAACAACTTAGTCGCTTTCAGCCTGAAGATACAGTGAGCTCGGACGTTCATGCAAAACCATCAACTTTGCATGTGGAGTCTTGTAACGCGTAGAAACGTAGACACGCGTTTGCACTACGCATTCGCAAGTTATACTCAGTTATAGAAAACAATAAATCTTACAAAAGAAGGCATATTTTGATCTATAAGAGCATCATTTATCGGCTGCGAACTAATTTGTTTTGTCGAAAACCTTCAACTAAGAAAAAAAAACGACCGTACAACAGGTCGCTCATTTTAGGCCTTATATGAATGAAACTATTGTAGGAAAATAAAATAGAAGGGTAGAACAAGGAATTTGGATGTGACATGCTCATATTTTGTTAGTTTTCCTTCAGCACACAAACCTGCAGTTAGTCGGGAGAACATAGAGGCAACACAGACTCCTAATTCTGCTCCATGGGAACATGTCGCTGCCTTATCTTAGTCTCTCTTGATTAGGGAAAAGAGATTTTAAATGAGATGAAGGTCCGGACTCTTCGTAAAAATAAAAATGGTTCGCAGGCCGAAGGCGGAAAGGCTGGCTGTGAACTTAAACAGTTATATCATAGTCGTTAGGTAAATTATAATCATACCTCGTTTGATCAGTGAACGGATCCGTTATTCTGCAGTATTACGGTGTCATTTGACGTCGGTGAATACCATTATAACCGAAGACGTCGTTTTGGATATCGATGAACACCTTGCGGTTTATCGTTTCTCTTGTCCACCGCCTGATTGGTCGCTGTCCTAATTTGATGGCCGTCCAAACCGCCAGGCGATGAGAGTCCTTGAAACTTGGTGTCGATACTGTGCGCTCTCTGTGGAAGTACTTTCCACACATGGTCGTCTGGGCCGACTTCTGAAGCTTGTCTAAGAATAGGAAAATATTGCAAATGTGACTGCTCTTCCATTGTGAGGGCAAGGGAAATTAAGACAGTTCCATTATTGACAATGCCCCATGTTCTGCATCATAGCTATGTACGAAGAAGGAGTTCAAAGGTATTTACCTATATTTCCCTAATAAAAAAAACTGAACTGAGTAACCTATTCCGGCACAAATGCAAAACGTTCCTTGTTTAGTTACCTACTTAAAAATAGCTTAGTCATAGCCGTCTACTGAGGAAGGCTGAATTCTTGCTTTTTTCTGTGATTAGGTACCGAGAAAACACTGAAAATTATTCCCTGTTAATAGTCCTAACAGGCAT